TTGAGTCAAACTTGAATGACACAAAGTTGGCTAGGCAGAAATGGTGAGGCGCAAACTCCAACATTAAAGGAAACCTCGCCTCGAAGAATAAGTGTAGGTATGCTGAAAGATGAGATTTATTCCTGCCTATTGATGTACAATATCCCTCATGAAAATATATATTAATGAATTAGTATGATGTAATGTCTTTATATGATAATGCCTTGAAAATGTGACGTAACAGTTGAAGTTGTACATGTATCATGCACCAAGCTTTATTTGGAAAGACTTTTTAATTCAATAACAAAACCTTACCTTTCCAAAGAGGGAAAATCATAGCTGAGAAGGTAAAATTATATTTGGTGAAAAATATATAACATTGGAACAAATGTAACCCATGAATTTTATTCTATTTAAAACATAGCAGTTGATAAATCTATTTCATTTATGTGAAACCTTTACCCTAGAAGAGCGACAACTTATTTATGCAGTTGGTGCTCTGACAATTATATTATAAAGAATAATAACGGGCTAATGAAATACTTCATTACCACACACATGTGGGAAGGAAGCATCCATAAATTTGAATTTATTTACTTGATAAAGGACTTCGCATAATATCTCACACTATCAAGAAAATAGCGATGCCCATGTCATTATTTCTTGGAGTAAGGTTTTCTTTAATTCAGATTAGCAATCTCCTCTTTTACGCACATGTGTTTGTCGGTCATGAGCCAGACAGGCGTTACCTTTGTGTTAAAGGGTATAAGATAACAGTCTTCTCGCACCCACCAGAAGATACGTTGTACATTCAGGCAATGATTACCAAACTGTCTGTAAACTTCCAGAATTCATACAGGTGTGGAAGGTTTCCTCTTTTAATTAGTCAATTTACACTTGTATAATTGTAATGCAGTATTGTCTAAGATCATACTAAGATTAACAGAATATCTAGTTTTGTATATATCTATATTATCATGTATTTTTGTTTACCCTGATGTATTGTGACAAGATACCTGATATGACAAGGTAACTTGCATGGTCTAATTGTCCTCATTAAATCATGATCTACTTAAAGCCATCTGTCTATCCATCGTCTCCTTCCCTGTTCATACTATTATTCTACTCCTCTCTCGACATCAGTCATCCTTTGAAATGGGGTGAGGAAGGGAGTCGAATAGTTCAACGTTCCATGGTATACACATTCAAAAATCAAAGCACAATACTGCCCCTCCCCCAGTTATCACCTGAATAAGTTATTTCCTGAAGAACGCCCAGTGCAGACCTGCCAACCAGTACGATTTTCCTCAATAAAATACGATTTTCAAAAACAATTTTTTTTTTTTTTTTTTTTTTTTAAATTTAAATTTTAAATTGTGTGTGCCATGCAAAATGCCCATTCTGTCCTGTAAAGTATCCTACAAGCATCTCACTTCGGAAATTTGGGGATGTTCATTGGTTCATCGAACTCGCTAGTTATGACGAAATCATGCATATTCAACCAATGATCCATACAAATTTTCTCCCTGTACGTAAGAACTGTAAAAAGCACTGATCCGCGTAACATTTTTTATATTTTTTTAAGAATACAACTTTGTCAGTAAAATACAACTTTTGGGAATAAAGAATGCAGTTTTTGAACTCCAGAGGTTGGCAGGTCTGCCAGTGCACATTGAGGCCAGTTGCCCCCTCCCCGAGCCCATCCCAGCATTCCAATAACTTTTAGATTAGTCTTTGATCAACTTGTAATGTCCCCCTCCTCCCCCTCTCCATGCTGGAAGTGGATCAATGCCCCTTTGACACAATCAATAACAAGCATGAGCCAGAAAAACTTCTCCATCATTACCACCGTACTAGTTGCCCTGAAAACTGAGAACGGAACAAATCAAGAACAAAACTCTTTTCTTGTTGTTGGATCTTTGTACAAACTTTAATGAGTAGTATACAGACATGTACATATGCCAAGAGGTTGATTGTAAAAGAATTTTACTTTCTCAGCAAAAAATACATCAATGTAGTTATTCATTCATTCATTGAAAATACATCTATAGAGAGGACCATTCACTTTTGCATGTACAGGAGAGAAGCACAGCATAAACATAAGGCTTGGAACTCCCACAAAAATAGATTTCTTTAAAACAATCAAAACTTATCCCCTTCCAATGACAATTCATTATTTCATATACATTCTTCTTACAATGCAATAAAAAAAAAGTTAAAACTCTGCACCAGATGGCAAAAATTTGATTTCATTCAGGTAATCTATAGACAGCTATTTCATTGTATTTACCGTACTGAACAATAACTTTGATCAATACCAGAAATTTTAAACAATGTACAGGATATCAAAATTGGAATTAGTTACAGTTTTTATAATTTTCTTACAACCAAAAGACAATTTGAACTTGTTTCAACTTCAACTGGGAATACAAACAGAAAACATTGGACTTGAACACAGACTGCAATGGCAAGACCAGATGAAAATGGAAAACCTTAACAATCAATCAATGAAACATGCTCTATTTTAAATTTGGCATTTGAATTTCAAAATTGGAATACGTAATGACAAATTGGATTTCCTTTCTCACTTTTTAAATAACATTGTTTCTAGAATGAATAAAATTAAAATTCATTTTGAACATGGTAAACAAAAACTCTCCCCTGCCCCAAGAAAAAACAACAACTAGATAACAAACTCAAATGCAACTGCTCTGATAACTTGATTGCAGTATTTCTATCAATGGATTCAAGATGGGGGGGGGGGGATCCTTTAGTAAACAAAACATGTTGACATTACGTCAACATGTAATGATACAAATGACAAGTACTCATATTTCTTTCATAATCGTAAAAATCATAACAGGATACAAGAGGCCATCTTGATGTACGATTAAAATTGATACTACATTGGCAAATGAAAAGACATGACACTATTAACAAAGATTAAATATTGGTACACTTGATACATACTAAAAAATGGGTAAAAATAATAGATTAGATAGTAGCATTGCATGTGCTATCAACCAAACACGCAAAAAGTTATTTACAATTCTAATGCATATATGATTTATTTTTGTACAATCTGTACAGTACATTACAAACTATAAAATGTCTTTTGTTTCTTCATAGATTAACTATGCACACAGACAAAAGTGAGTTGTCTAGCTTCCGAGAAAATTGTTATACTACATTAAAAAGAAGGCCACGACATGAACGTTTTACAATCGCAAACAAAAATCAAGGTTTTGTGTGATCCATATTCTACTGAAGAGAATCCATAACACAATTCATTGTAACAAATGTTTTTGCCATTAATCATTTGGACTACAAACTAACATTGACAGTTGGAGTAGCTACAATCTTTAGGAATACTTTGTGCTACAAAAAATATATGCAGAAAGTTGTTCGAGATACAATATTGTCTGAATACATACATATAAAGGAGCAAATATCTGCAAATAATTGAAATTCAATATATATTTCAATCGGAGGAAGTGTGTGTGCAGACTACAACACATTCTATGATAGGAAAAGAGTGTTGAAAATCAGTCCCTTCTAATTCAGTTGACTATAGGAAATCAAATTTAAATAAATCAGCCAAAGTGGAAGCAGAAATGCAAGAGAATATATCTGTTAATCAACAAAATTATTTCATGATATCATTTACTGTACACAACTCAAAACATTCCCTTTCCTAATTTTCCTAATTGATGAACACATTCCTTTTCTTGATAATGGTAACACATTTTTTTTCCCTCCAAATCCTTGCTTGAAATTATATTGGCTCCATAATCAGAATGGAGGAAAATTATGTTAAGAGTAATGAGTTTAAAATGAATTGCAAAGTCACCCGTGAATAGTGGTGCAAACTGTTGAAATTGTATCCATTTCTTATTCTTTGTCTACTCTATCTTTGATCTGTGACTGATTATCTGAATTTGTTTGCTTCCACTCAGGCTGGCTCAAGAAGAGAGGTTAGTTCCTCTTTGAGTTGAGGCGTAGATGGGAAGGCATTTAGAGGTTATTTCAAGAAAAATTAATCCAAATTAATTGTATATAAAACAGAATCAATACAATTACATGCTAAAAGAGGAAGGCATTCAGAGGTTATGTCAAGAAATATTATTTCAAATAATTTGTTTAGATGACAGAATCAATACAATTGCAGGCTTAAAGTTAAAGAGGAAGGCATTTAGAGGTAATTTTAAGAAAAATTGATTCAAATAAATTGTTGAAAAGACAGCATCGATACAATTACAGGCTGAATACTACGTCATCTTTTGATTAAAAATTCTACAAAGGCATGGTACAGATTGACCTTATGATTCACTGAATAGCATAGGTCTTTAAATCACTGCTTTGCAAAATTAACATACTGTATGGATAAAGAAATTCATAAGACTTCCCTGAAAATTCCAATAGGACTTGACAATTCTTTGAAAACATTGCTTCTCATGGACACTGAGGGCTATTAATGCACATATATATCTTTTTGTTAATAAATAAATCTAGAATATGAATACATTAAATTAGATTGGAATACACCACATTTGTCTAAAAATTGGGAAAAAAACACATTTCCTTCTTGAATACTGTAATCTTGTTGAAACAGGGGACAGAAATGATTGTAAAGCGCTTAGAGACATTTGTATTAAGCGCTATATAAAATTTGAATATTATTATTATTATTATTATTGAAAAACTTCAATATGCAATACAAATAATTGTTAAGTACACATCTGACCTTATCATGAATACACTTAATAACTGTGAAGGGGCCAGATAAGGGTAAAAAACAATTTAAATATTATAATATTTGCAAATTCATGACACAACTTTTCAGAATTTTTTTTTTCACTCTCTTTTTCTCATCTCTGGCAATCAATTACAATGCAGTTTTTCATCACTCTCTGTTGACGAAAAAAATTCGGACGAAAGTAAATAAACGTATCAACGATACCCTTTTCCTTCCATTCATACATGTACAGTTGACAACTGAATTATTCATACTCCTTTTAAAGTATATAGTTTTTGTCTTTTTCCTCAATAATGAAATGTGGATTGGTTGAATTAGGGCTTTTGATGAATACTTTTAGATGTAAGCTTTAAAGGCCCACTGCACTACTTGTAGCTACTTGCTCCCTCTATGTAACAAACAATGCCTAATCGGTGACCATTGGTCCCCCATGATCCTCTTTTTCTTATGTTAACTGAGAGCTGAGTAACCACCTGTCCAGTGACCTTGCAGGGCGGTCTAATCCCTCCTGTAAACTATGGCAGATAAGCTTTAATATGTCACATTCTCAAGAACCATACATCAGGACGTATCATTTGTTCACATACTTGGAAAAATCACAAAAAGTTGGTGAGGGTAAGGATAATTTAGTTGTTGACTGTATACTGTACGGCTTTACGTTTGGCAGTAGTAGGAAGATTTGGCCACATTTTTAAGACTGTGCAAGGCATGTTAATATTCAAGGCTTAGTCTCATCAGGAGCTTGTTTTCTACCATGAAAGATCACCCAAACCTGGGTTTAAGTTTGGTTTATCAGCCAGATATCACAAAGAATAAATTAACAGTTTGGGGCAAGTTGCTTCATTTGCCTGGACTGTAGACCGAGCTTTGAAATTCATCGTTGACTCAATATTCAAGTCAATACAGGCCATGGTGCGTACACAACTTGTATTCTTATTGAGATGCCACGATATATCATTTCATACCACAAGCTTGGTTGTGATGAAGTGCAATGTTGGTACATGAATCTCAAGGCACTGTATCTCACAAATAATGGCATCAAATTAATACATTGCTCTCAGTGGCAGACTATGAAGAGTTCTGAGCAAATTCTGGGATCGAGAGCAGCGACTCGGCTACATATGAAAGCTATTTATTTCATGTATGCACTTAAAAGTAATTGTATAACCTAAGACAAATTGATCCAGTGCAAAATAGACATATATGTTATCTTATTCAGGAAATAATTGGCACTACATGAATGCATTGAAATGAATGGAGAAACTACCGTAACCATAAATACTGATGAGATGACTGAGCAATGAAACAACTGGGAGTCGCCACAAACAAAAAAAACTTATTCATCTGAAAAAATGCAAAATACAGACAAGAAATAAACACAAATGTAGCATGACATAGCAGTAGATTCACCGACAGGGAAATGCAGACCTACCTTAGCAACTAACTTATTCATATCAATTGTTCAAACCTATCCCACATCGTTCAAGATGTCTTATTTTACCTAAAAATCTGTTAAATATTTCTTCACCATAAACTATGAAATAAGATGTTTTTATTGCGTGATTACTGTCTATGAAAAAAAACACTTTATTATTCACCTGAAGCACACAATGTAAATAGCTTGTAAGAATTGTTTAAAATTCCCCCCTTTTTTTTTTGGAAGAAAAGAAATGAAACTGATCTTGTTTTTAAAGTTGCCTTGATGACAGTGAAATCTAGCAGATGTATCCACACAGAAGTTTGGAATTCACAATACAGTGATTGGATAAATAAAAACAGAGTTGAAAATAAAAGAGTACATCAGATCTTCACAGTGATTGAGTGGCAGCTAAAACAATTTCTCATACATTTATTTTTTCCTTCTAAATTCTTCTAAAAAAGTACCAATACCATTTTCAGGGGAGTTCTTCTTCACCATATTTATTATATAATGAATAACCATACAAGGCTTGAAAATGTAGCATTAGTCTTTGCAGTACCAATTTTTCGGTTATGATACATTCATGAAGGACTGTTTTGAAATCAATACCATATACCGGTAAATGAAATAAAAAGAGCAATTGTTGCTGGTTTCATGAAGCAACATATTTCCTGTATTTAGCAAAAAAGCATACATCAGTTTGCAAATCCAGTGGCATATTGATGGCAAAATAGCTTGACCCTTAGTCAACTCTGAGAATACTTTAAAAAGAAGCATGAATCCAGCACGCTTTAGAAAGAATGTAAGATTTAGTATGAACATGCATCCTATGTTGTCATCAAAAACATCAGCATCAAATACAAAAATAAATCAAAAAACTTTTCCTTATGGTAGCCTCTATGCTATACAATTGAAAACTGAATCCATTCAATTCAATGGTGAATAAATGAACTTTTAAAAATAGGGTAATACAGAGTAGCTCAGACAATCAATATTAATGACTTTAGAGAATATTGAAAAGAGAGAGGAAGAGAGAGGGAGAAAAGAAGGGTTTTAATATTTCAAGCCTCTTGGGAGACTACGGTAGTTCCAGGAGTTATCGAAGTTATCCCTGCCTCGTCCTCTACCTCCTCCTCTCCCTCCTCTTCCACCTCCGCCTCCTCCTCCTCCTCCTCGACCCATCCCTTCATCCCGATGCATCTCATCACTCTGGAGCGAAGAATTGGAGACCCCCATCGAGGCATTCCTAGACATGGGGGGCGGAGTCTGCGTCATGTGCCGGGGATCTGCAGAGAAAGAAGGAAAGATACGGCATTGAAATCATCGTTCATCTGTGAAATTAAATAGATTCCATGCACAAAGGAACCTCCTCACTTCTTTACAAAAGCATTAAAGTTTGTCAAAACACTATTTTCAAATACGCATCCATTTTTGATCAATTCATCCCACTATTTCATCAAAATATTAATTAGATATCGCTTATTTGAAAAATACACTGCTACATATAGATAAAAAATATTGTACGTTTTTCACTCCACAATGCAACGCATGGTATAAAGTGATGTTTGAAAATATTGCATGAGATATGATTTGGGAAAAATTTATGTCATGTGTGATAGCTGGAAAATGATGATAGGATTGTCCCAAACAATATTTTTCCAGAACCACTATTCCAAGATGTAGATTTTCATGGGTTTACTGGTCCAACAACCCACTTCACATTAAATCATTCAAAATTTTAACCAGTTCTTCTCTCTCTAAACAGGAAGAAAGGAGGGGGGGGGGGGTATATATAAATATATATATATCACTAGAGAACCTTTGATGACTTTGACTAGATGTGACCAAAACTCATCTACTCTACAAGGTAAGATACCCAATTGACCATGTGAATGTGCTTTTTGGGGATGTGTGAATTATGACCCTTAAAATATTTATTAAGATATATGTTTCATGCAAGAAGGCATCAGATACAAAACCCAAACTTGAAATAAAAAGATTTACATGTTATCTAGCATTCCTTTCCGACAACTTAAAAATCCACTACAACATACATGCATACCATGAGAGTGATGCATACATGTACATGATTTTCATAAGAATACTAGAAATATTAAATGGAATTGTCAAATGTCATGCCATTGAATCCTAACCCTATTAAAAAATTGACTAAAGAAGGGAGAAAAACCTGCTTCTAAACTATATCATATATTCTTTTCTTCATTGAATGCAACAATTTTGCATGGACCCTTAGGAGAGAGAGAGAGAGAGAGAGAGAGAGAGAGAGAGAGAGGGAGAGAGAAAGAGAGAGAGGGAGAGAGAGGGGAAGAAAGAAAGAGAGAGAAAGGGAGAGAAAGAAAGAGAGATATGAAGCATATTGATAGAATTCTGTAAAAGTAACAAGATGTGAACATGGGCTCTATGAAATATGTTATGGGTGTTTACTATAAAGATGAAGAAAGCTAATCTAAAATAGAATTAAACTTTATTCAATGTTCTGTGATGAATCAAAAATTATGTTATCATCAGATAGATGTTATCAAGAATAATAATAAAGTAAACTATATAGTACAGACAATAGATTAAGTAATTAAGAAGTACTACATAAGCAACAACAAAATAAAACAAAGAGAGAAAAGAGAGTCACAATTAGTAGGAAAGAGGTAGAAAGAATCAAGGAGAAAGACACCATTGAAGTCATATAAAGTGCAGAATTACATGTATATACCAGGCTAAAAGTGCTTTAAACGTATAGACAGAAATATCCGTTGGCATGCACTAATACAAGTGCCACATAAAACTGACCTAGCCCCTGTACAAAACTAAATGAATAGGTTGTGCAAACATGAATATATATGGTATTATTACTGGTTAAACCATTATTTTAAAAAAAATCTTATTGTATTGAAATGTAAATGCAGTGATAATGATGTTACAGACCCATAGATATAACATGCTTGTAGCACAATACATTTACAAAGTTTGGAATGTAGTAAAAGAAGTTATTGCTCTCTGATACATGTACATGTAAAGATTTGATAGTGACAAGATGTGGAGTTTTGATCGTATGTATACTCCCTATTACTCACGATAGGTGCTGTAGCGATCGGCAAAACGATAGCCTGTTTGATTTGCAACATTTAAAACAAGACAGAAATTTTGAAAGTCAGACGCTTACAAGTTACTACAGATTGCAAGTACACATACATCGAGGACAATTTGAGGAAAAAGAGCATCAAGAAAACTTGAGTACAATTCATTTGGAAGTTATAAGAAGAACATAGTTGTTTAAATATATTTGTGGCTTAATAAAGATTGATTGATTGATGTGTAATTGAAAACAAGCTAGAACAAATCTTGGAACCAGCGGGATTTGGACCTGGGTGTAAGCCACAAATATGTTTAAACAATTGAAATTTCTCCCAGGAAGCGTTACATTTGAAAAATAGAACATAATTATTAGTGAAGGCCAGAAGACATTAATACATTTGAAACAACAAATTTAGCATTTTTCCTTCAATGAAAATAAGATTCATCAATAACTTCATAAATTGATTTTTTTTTTTAAGCATCTCGTATAATGGTTGAGGAAGGGGATTTAACATTAAGAATAGTTCAGAGGCATTCTATTTTCTTCTTTTTTTATTCAAAAATAAAAAATATAACTACCAAAACACTGTACAACAGATAATAGCTTAGATATCTATTTGTGATTATCATGGGGAAAACAAAATTTCATTACTATTTCATTAAAGGAAAAAAGAGGCATCACAACAAATTACTTCTTAGAGGCAAACACTAAGCATTGACAATACAGCTGATGAAAAATGATTCTGTGCACAAATGAACAGATGAAATTTAATAGAGAAATATGAGGCCTAGAGAGAGAGATGTATATCAAAATGCCGGAATATAAGAAAAGTCAACTTCAAATCTCTATTCAAAATAATTTTAGGATTTTAGCAACTCGCATATTAGAAAATGATAAAATGAGACACGTTATTTTACACAATACATGACTGAAAAAAAGAAACATCTTGAGAAAATTCAAAACAGCTGGACAAAATTGGGAAAATTCTAAATTGCTGGACAGTCACTCATTTAAAATACAATTTTTTTCACACTGATTTTCAAAGGACTGATATAACCAAAAGAACTGAAGAATGGCTT